TTGATATGTAAGAGAAACAGTGTTGGAGCCAAGACCGATCCCTGGGGAACACCCGCGTTGACGTTGCGGGATGAAGAGGAGAATCCGTCAATTACGACGGATATCTTGCGGCCAGAGATATAGTCAGCCACCCATCTGCAAAGCTTTTCTGGGAGGCCGTAGGATGGAAGTTTGCTTAAGAGGGCAGCGTGCCACAGCTGATCGAACGCTTTCGTGATGTCAAGAGCAACAACATGAGCCTCACCATGAGACTGGATGAGTTTACTCCACAGTTGCGTGACGTAAGCTAGGAGGTCCCCTGTGGATCGTTGGTGCCGGAAACCGTACTGCCTGTCGCTAATCAAGGTGTGACGTTCGAGGTAGTTCAGAAGCTCGCGATTTATGCACCTCTCCATCACTTTACTTATAACAGAAAGCAGAGCTATAGGCCTGTAGTTGTAAGGGTCGGTCTTAGATCCTTTTTTTGGGATGGGCTGTACATGAGCAAATTTCCAGTTTTCTGGGAAGGTGCCGGATTCATAAGATACCTGGAAGAGACGCGAAAGAACTGGAGCAAGCTCCGCTGCACATCTCTTCAGTACAATGGCAGGAATCAAGTCCGGACCAGAAGCTTTGTTGATGTCGAGCGACAAGAGCACTCGTCGGACGGTCTTATGCCTGAATGTTACCTCCCGCATAGTGTGGGGAACCCTGTGGATTGACGGCACTTGGGCGTTGGTGGGGACGTCCATGGTGGAGTTGGCAGCAAAGATCTTGGCTAGCACTTCCGCCTTGGCCTTTGAGTCGAATACAATAGTTCCATCCTGACACGTAAGTGGTGGAAGGCTACTGTGTGAGAAGTTCTTTTCAATCTGCTTAGCCAGCGTCCAGAAAGACCGACTGCCATTGCGCTGCGACATTACCCTGTGCCTAACTTTTATATCATGCTGGTTTTTGGCATTGCGAACCGCTTCGTTATATTTGTTTCTAGACTCGACGTCGGCTTGTCTGTTCTCTACAGTGGGGTTTTGTAAGTAGGTTCTGTGGGCCTTGATCTTCTGCTGGCGAGCAGTGTCACACGATTTGTTGAACCAGCCGTTGGACCCTGGTTTAGGAACTTTCACTGTGTGAGGGATGTATTCCTCCATTCCGACGTGGATAATTTCGGTTATTGAAGAACAGACAGTCGACGCATCCGCGTCAATGAAACAGACATCTCTCCAAGGAAAGCTAGAGAAGAAGTCTCTGAGCCCCTCCCAGTCGGCATGTCCGTAATGCCAAGTTTTGCGGCCTGTGCGAGTTTCTGCTGCCACAGCGGCTTCTGACCGAAACCTAACCTCCACAACACCGTGATCTGAGTTACCCAAGGGGGACAGGACAGCAGTGCTGTAAGGGGCAGGATGCGTGGTCAGAAAGAGATCCAGCAGGCTACTGGCGTGTGACGAGACGCGGGGGAAAAAAGTAGGGCTCGTCACCAGCTGGGTCAGCCCTTGAGTAAGAGCGAACGCTTCGACTGCACGACCTGCTGCATCGGTCTTATTTGAGCTCAACCAAAGCTCATTATGGGCATTGAAATCACCGAGAAGAACTACCTCTGAAGCGGGGTGATTGATGTTCAGGAAGTCGAGCTGGACGGCGAGGTATTCGAGTAGGTCATCCCAGTTATGGTTCGAGGGAGAGCGATAAAGGCAGCAAATAAATTTGGGTATATAAACACGGGTCGAAAAATGCGTGGCTTCCGAAACACAGGGTGTTTAAATTTACTTTCTAAAATAGTTTGTTTTAAATATTTCGAACAATCTTTAATGTATAACAGTGAAAATTGTTATACAATGGTTTTGGGCATAGTTTTACTGTAGCCGCTAGAGGGCACTACACCTGTAGTATATTAAAATGACCGAAACATTTTTCTTAGTGCAATTTTTTGCTTTTTGAATAAAAAAACTGATTCTTCGCACTCTTCAACATAAAAAAGCTCTCTTGTGAATTTTCGTTATAGTTAGCGGTTTTTGAGATATTTCGATTTTTAAGGTTCGATGCATTTTTAATTATTTATGATAAAATAACGTTAAAAAGTCAGTATCTCGATAAATTTTAGAAGTAGGCTGTGCCTGCAAATATTTTTGAAATTGAAAGCAGAATAAGGTTAAACGTCAATTAGTTGACAGTTAGTTTTGTCGTCTGTTGAAACCTGAAACGTTTTTTTGCAATAGTGAATGCACGAAATTTAGTTTCTTTTACATGTTTTTTTTTTGTAAGTTTTATAAGAATGCCATTTTTATTCTCCAATCAAGAGTTAGCGGATATTCATTTTGTGTATGGCTTTGTAAATGGAAACGCAGCAGAAGCAGCCAGAGAATACGCACGAAGATTTCCAAACAGACGACATCCAACTCGCTCAGCATTTGTAAGAGTGCATCGCCAAATAATTGAAAATGGTTTTGGAAATCTCCAAAGGGATCAAAACATAAATGTTCGTCAGCGCAGATTTACCCGTATGATTCTGCGAGAGTTTGATAGAGATCCGACCACAAGTGTTAGGAGAGTTTCTGATGCCTTTGAAATTTCAGCAAGCCATGTTCACCGTGTTCTTAGAAATGACCATAGACGTCCTTACCATTTGCAACCTGTGCAAGGACTACAGCCAGGGGATGGAGAACGAAGAATCACATTTTGTCAATGGATTCTTGATAGAACTGATAATAATAGGGAGTTCTTAAGTAACGTTTTATGGACCGATGAGTCATGCTTCACTAGACGTGTAGTGGTAAATTTTCATAATCAACATATTTGGTCGCATGAAAATCCGCATGCGGTTCGGGAAAGAAATTTTCAGCATGAATTAAGTGTGAACGTGTGGATTGGTATCTACCGTAATCGACTATTTGGACCCTACCTTTTGCCTGCAAGGTTAAATGCTGCGACGTTCTTGGAATTTTTAAAGGCTGAACATGCAAATATGTGGGATGATGTTATGTTAGATTTAAGAAGATTGGGCTGGTTCCAGCTTGATGGTTGTCCTGCTCATTATTCGAGAATAGTTAGAAACTGGTTGGACGAAAATTATCCAGAAAGATGGATCGGCCGTGGAGGACCAGTCGCCTGGCCTCCACGATCCCCTGACATAAATCCATTAGGTTTCTTTGTGTGGGGATTTCTAAAAGAAAAAGTGTACCAGACTCCCGTAACCACAAGAGATATGCTAATAGACAGAATCAGGAATGCATGTGATGAAATGAGACCTTATTTGAATAATGCTATACCACGTTCGTAGATATGAATTGTGTATTGAACAATTGGGTTTACATTTCGAGCAACTACTTTAGATTTTGTATGTTTCTCCTAACTATCCAATAGCATTTTAGTTGTAAATAATCAATTTAATTTGTTAAAAATAATATTGGAAAATTAAAAAAAATTAATATTCTGTTTTTTGTGTTTATTTGGATTTAGGAATTATTGCTGTGTTTAAAAACACAATCTAAACGATCATCTTAATTACTTGTAATGCCCAAATCGAAAATTTAAAAAAAAAAATTTTCCCATAAATAATTAAAAATGCATCGAACCTTAAAAATCGAAATATCTCAAAAACGGCTAACTATAACGAAAACTCACAGGAGAGCTTTTTTATGCAGAAAAGTGCGAAGAATCAGTGTTTTTATTCAAAAAGCAAAAGATTGCACTAAGAAAAAATTTTCGGTCATTTTAATACACTACAGGTACAGTAGAGAGCGCCCTCTAGTGGTTACAGTAAAACTATGCCCATGGCTCGTTTTGTCGTACCAAA